TAAAATTTGTAAGACTAAATTAAATTAAAAGATAATAAAGGATATGTTTATTCTTCTACTCCATGATATATAATAAATATTAATTGCTTTTTATAAAAAGATTATTTTAGCAACGATTTTAAAATCTAATTAAGTTATTTTATAAAAACTTAAATATAAATTAAAAATTTTAGTTTTAATTTTATATTTAATTATTTATGAAATAATTTTTCCAAGTTGTCTTTAATTACTGTAGTCCAGGCCTGCGACTGATTAATACTTTTCGGCTGATTTTAGTTATTCTCATCTCTATTTCTTTTGTTTTATAGCATCTAAATTGCTCGTAAGATCGCTCGAGCGTTTTATTTAAAGGTCAATCATGGCCCGTTCAAGATCCATTGACATAATGGGGATATTATTATTTATTAGAAGGATCTTGAGATGTAGTCTCTTTATGGCATTGTGTTTGCCGTTTTTTACGGAAAACCAGTCAAAAGCCAACATGCAATGCATCTCCACTGGCACTCACTTGATCAACAAGCGGCCATTAAAAAATCTGTCCATCTCTGGCAATCGGCATTGCATCTATTGAAGACATCGCTTTGGAATCGTATATGACTGTGTTATGTAGCGGCATTAAGTGTGAGGACTGGATAGTTTAGTAGTTTATAGCAGTTGCCCGGAAAGCAAAAGACTCGAGTTTGAATTCCAGCCATTTGCGCTCGCTATTTTCCAAGTCCGCAAATATTGTCTTCTAGCAATTATTTGTCAGACTGAAAAATGTGTAAGGGCTCTGCACACAGATATACGTCAATGCTGTTGCCATGGATGGATTGTTTCTCTATCACTTGTTGACCGAATGAGCGTATAGACATGCCTGATTTTCTCCCTCACACATATATCCCTATCTTTATTTTAGAGAATGAAATAATGTATAGAATAATATACAGTTGAAGTCCCCCATATGATTTATAATTAATACCTTCCTGAAATTAGGACAGTAATTATATGAGACTTATTATTGTTATTATTATTGTTATTATTATGTTATAGAGTTAAAAGAAATATACTCCCAAAGAAATATACTCCCTCTCTTATACTTTTCGTTCTTTTTAAAATTATTATAATAATTAAAATTATTATTATTATAATTATTATGAAATTAGAACACTAAAATGGAATACATATTAATACACACACACACACACAACACACACACACACACACACACACACACACACACACACACACACACACATACACATTAATATGTATTTCATTTTAATATTCTAATTTTATAATAATTATAATTATAATAATAATTTTAAAAAGAATGAAAAGTGCAAAAGGGAAAATATGTGCCAAACGATTTGCAACGATTTGCAATATCATTCTTTGAGCATCCTACATCTCCGTTAGAACCTTAAAGAAACAAAAGAAGAAGGCACAGCAGTAGACAAAATCAGCTGTAGTATCGGTCGCAGGCCTGCAGTATCCGATTAATTTTTCTGTTACTTTGTGTGTTTCCATTTATAATTTTTTATTTTTTTATTTAAAAAAATTATATTATTTTTTATGTATTTTTTAAATCTTATTGTGTGTATTTGAGAATTTTTGAATTCATATGATTCTGATAAAGAGAAAAGTTTGAAAATTGCCAGAATATATTTTTGCCTCTTGTAAAGTGGAAATAAATATCTGTTAATAGATTTATTGTAATTTTTATATTACGTTATGCATATTATACATTTATATGTATATATAATTTCTTTTTATGTTAAAACATTTTATTTATTAGTTTTTAACAAAATAGTAAACTAAACTCTCTTTTATATTTTATGTTTTATTCAAAGCGATGCGAATTTTTTATGTCGCTGGACAAATTTTTGCCATAAAATCTGTCTTTTTTGTTTCTCATCGCATCATTGACTGATGACCTTTCGTTAATATTGATTCGTTTATGTTTGACAAATAAAGTCCATTTCGCAGAAACTGGCTTGAATAAAAACTTCAACGCTTCTTATATTGCCGAGATTAAAGCATGATCGATAAATACGGAGAGTTGCGTGAACGATTTAATTATTAAAGAATAAAGAGATTCCTGTTGCTCAAATCATCGTAATAATTTTTTTTCTATCTCCTTAGTGCATCATGTCAATCGTGATTCCGGTAGAAGTTACATGGTTCACAAATCATTCGAATTTCGACAAGGAAATAGCAAAAAATTGCGAAGCCGATTTGCGAGATAGAAAGAGGAAGAGAAATTATATGATTTTTCTCGAAGCCTTTTTCATACGCGTTGAAATGGAAGGGTTGCAACAAGTGAGAGATTTAAATCCGACAGTATGGCCCCGGATTATTTGTTGCATGCAAACATACAGCAGTGCAATATATGAAATGCACGAGTATTCATATATATACCGTGTAATATATTTATAATATAATAGTATCCTGCATTTTTAAGTGAAACATTCCACTTTTTATTTAATGTGTTTTGTATACTTTATAATTTGTCCATATGAATTTTTATTTTGTCAAATATGAAATATAAGAATAATTTTAAGGCAAAATAATTTTATTAAACTTTTATTAATTTTCTCTTTATATATGAAATAAAAAAAATATAATACATATTTAATTAATATATTGTCACAATAGATCATTGATTGCAAAAACAACGTAACGTATTGCTATAGTAATAATCATTTCGCTGCTAAATTGCATTTATGATTGATCGCGCCAAATATATTTCATTTGTTATCGATATTTGTAGTACAATTTAGGGATTATACAAAATTGACCACATTTGTGCGCGAGTGATATTTTGCAAATGCTGTCAATCATATTAGACTAACGTGCACCTACGCAGGGATAATATTACCGTATTTACCTCGTGTTTATTCATTACATCGATGTTGTGTCGACGCACTTTATCGAAGTTAAGCCATGATTAATGGCTGACAACGAAGCATGTAATTAAGATGCAAAACTCATCGTGCAAGTCGTATATCACGGAGCGTAATCGAATCTAATGCGATTCGTTGCACCTTTTGCATCCTTTATGAGTAAAAATAAAAAGTAAAAGCTTCTCGAGCTAATTTGCAAATATATTTTTTTCGATATGGTAACGATGTGACACAGGGTGGGATGACGCGAGATTTTTTTGTCGCTTGCGCGTGAAATGTCATATGTTAAAAAAAACGCACCAACGTTTTTCAGCGATCGACAGCTTCCAATTTTGGAACTGACCTACTTTTGATCGTGCCGAATGGGACAGTAGGGATTTTATGGTCATTCATATATGAACGTAGTAACTCTCGCGGTGTTAATCATAAAATGTTCTATTCTCGTTCAAGGCTATTAGCTATAGAAGTGCCGTGCTTTATATTAACTGAACGAGCGAGAAAACTAATCGTGAACTCTAGCAAATCTGTCAGATTATGAAACGTAAACATGATTAAGTTCTTTAACGTTTTTAAATTTTATTTGCAATTTTCTAAAGTAAAACCGTAGCAAAGCGATCTCTTTTTAATTCAATTACGTTATCGCTTCTTATATGTACTTTGTTCTGTATTTTTTATTATAAAATATATCTATACGAGTATTATATACATTTACACAGGATATTAAAAAAGTTTATAATCTATAAAGAGTAGATATAGTACTAATATAAGTTGAACAAGTTAGGAATATAGACTGAAAAGTCAAATCTGTCAGAAATAGTCTTAAAGTATATAATAATAAAGCAAATGACTTTCTTGACTCTATTTGTCACATGCAATATAAAGGCGAAGGATTATCTTGTATATTTTTATTCAGATATTTGCGGAAAATATTCTATATAAAAAGATACATAAGATTTATATCAGCAAATCTCTCTTCTCCAAGTTTGTGAGATGATTCGAAGGAATCCAAGAATACGAAATTGATATCGTTCAAATGAATAAAAGAAAAATAAAATTAAAAAAAAATAGAACATTTTTCTCTTTATTTTTTTGTAAATACGATCAGAAGTAGAATAGAGAAGATAATCTTTTATTTTCACATTGCGTGAAAATTAAAAGCAAGCAAGTTACTCTTTTACTTTATTAAAATCGAAAATTATTTTTATAGCTTTGACAGAATCGATTTTTCGATCTATATTTTTGATCGGAGTATTTTTTTACTCGAGATAATGAATATTTTTTGTATAATGTTATTTTCAAAATATATATATTATTTTCAAAATATATATATTTTTTTAAATTAATGATTATAATAATTAATCGAAATATTCATTTAAAACTATTTTTAAAAATCATTATCTTTACGTAGAAACCAATAATTAAGTATGTTAAATGAAATTTTACATTTGCTTGAAAACTTATCTATTTTCTAATTTATCATCTAATCTGTCAAGAAGTCATATCTATCATCCGTTATTCGTTCTCTCGCGCGACATATTTCGCGTTCCGCGGACTACGTCTCTGTTCTAATTCTCCCGCTCTAATTCCGACAGCCTCATTAGACACAATTACGTGCCTCCTCGTCGCTTCAGGATCCCGGTACCCTTCCCCGAGCATCATCGCCTATGCTGCAACGATGGCATAACAGGTTGTGCGTCACGGGGAGAAGCGCGTACGCCTAATTCTCATCAATCGGCGACGAGCGCGCGGCGCGAAACGCGCTCATGTCAGTTATGACATTCCGACAGCGACATTGGGTGCATCGCGGATCGCTTGCTAGTTCTAGTAGTAGCTCCCTTCGGCTCGCGCGGTCTCTCTCTGTTCGAGAAACTATCTCTAATATCAACCCTAATATAGTACATACCAATTCGCCTTCACCATATGCAAAAGTCGGGAAAAAAATCGCGGTCGTCGACAGCAGAAACGACACGTGAAACACGAGTATAACCGTGGTGTGTGGCGATTATACGAGGGTGACGTGCCGGAGGGTGAAAGAGCAAGAGGGTGTGTAAAAAGGGACGGAGAGACGATGCGCGTTGGCTGGCTGGTGAATGAACGAGAATTGGATTCACTAACCTGCCTGTGTGCCTGTCCGCCGTGTCCGGAAACCGAGAAGCGACTGAGAGAGGTGGTAGCGTCGAGGCGACTGTCCGCGGCCCCACTGCCTTGGCCGTACGAAACCCACCCCCGCGGCGGCACCCGCTTCCCTCCCTCCGCCACCCCCGTCGTCGTCGTCGCCGATCCTGCCGCCACGTCGCCGGGGTCCCTGTTCCTTTCACGAAAACGGGGATGCTCTTCGGGGCTTCGCTCTCTCTCGCCCCGTTCATGCTCTCGTTCGGCCCATTTCCTCTCTCTCTCTCTTCCTCCCTCTCGTACGTTTCTCCCTGCCACCCTCATTCGAACCATCTGTCACATTCTTCCCCCTCTCCGCCTCTTTCGCTCTTCCGTTTCGCTCTCTCCGTCACGCTCTCCGCATTTCTTCCGTTTCTTTTTCGGGAACTCCACCTTCGCGCAGGATTCCTCCCGCCATCCCTTCCGTCGCGTCTGCTAAATTTTCCCCCTGAAAACCATGCTATAAATGTACGTCCGGGAAACTGCACCCCTCTTGGCAGTGACGTAGTTGTCGATCGGGGGGCCCTCGCGCCAGACAATTGATAATCGATCATTTAATTGTCAATCGACCTTGTTACAATATTTTTTAAAATATAACGAAGGATCCTAGAAACTTGATATGTATGTGTATGTGCGGGATTGAATTTGCAGGAATTAAAATGAATATTCGAGTGATTCGAGTCTGAATTATTTGGATCTTTAAAACCGGAGTAAAATCAAGATATATTTTCTTACCTTCGGGAAATAAATATAAAGAGATAATTCGGTCTTTCCTGATTTTTCAATTAGATGCAAATATCATTTATCAGTTTTGTACATGCAACTACTGTGAGAAATAAATGAATGAAAAATAGTCAACTACAAAGATTTAAAACACGATCCTGAAGTTCTAAATTGCGTCAGTGACTTGACACAGTTTTTGCTTCGTATAATCAGGCGATCTTCCTGCGTCGCGTCTTTCTTCAATTTCTACTTTAAGAAACGACGGAAAAAGACAATCTTTCGCGAGACGCATTTTATTCAGTACATGTCAAAGAAATTGGAAAGCTTACGATCAAAATGTTTCAATCGCGGATATAAACGGTCCGGGAATAAACGCGACGTCCATTACACGAGTTCCTCAGGATCTAGAAAAGCACTATATCATGCGAAATGTCAAAGGCTATATGCCAGTTCTCTCGCATGGTTACATAGGGCGGTAAACTTAATGTTTTTTCGCCCACGTATCCTGATCGGCCGCAGGAAAAATTGTGTGATATTGTCGTTGAAACTCATAGAGCGCTGCCTCTTGCAGGAAGTAATATCCCCTTGTTAATCTAAGTAACGTGCCGCGGAAAATGCTGGAAGAGAATCAATCGTGCGATTCTCAAAGGATCATTTGCCTCGTTACAATTTTCAAGTTTGTTTAGAGTTCTCAATTAAGAGCTATTTTATTGTCCACGATTGAATGTTGATTAATGTGAATAATATGAGAGATACATATCATTTGTCTTATTGTTCTACAATTTTAAGACATCAGATAACACATTATATGACATTTAATTTATGTGACATTCGATAATTTTATGTGAAATTTAATTTACAAGATTATTAGATTGTAAATTTCAAGATACTTTTTATTATCTAATGTTGTTAAAAAATAAGAGTTATTTGCGATAAAGAAATTAAGGATAATTGTAAGAAGTATAAATTTGTTCTTATCCAAATTTTCTTAGTACAATTTGAGATGATATTCTTTTGGAATACGAGGAGAATCAAATTTGTACTCATGTGTTTGTTCCTCGTGGCTTCTTAATTATATTAACGAACTTTCCACCGGCTAAGTGCTAGAAGGAAGACTGGAGTTCCAAGCTCGCGAACTTCCGTGCAAAAAAATGCCAATGAAGCGAACGGACAACGACGAAAGCTCGAAGTGGTAAAGTGCTTGAGAACTTTTCCCATTTTCGCTTCGGAAAGAGATTTCCGCCCTAATCTTGTGACTGAAAAGACGAGTAAAAAGTAATGAAAGACGCGATTGAATCGACGGCTATTTAATCTTGCCATCGTACTAACCGGACATGTCAAATCCACCTGTCATTAGAGAAAGAGAGAGAAGGAGAGAAATCGCAGAAATAAAAGCGTGCAAAATAATTGTCATAAATTGACATGAAAAAAATTCGCGCTTGAAATATATTAATGGCATATTGTTCACTGAGTAATCAGAGCTTCCTCGGCGAAAGCTGTGAAATTCATTTACGGTTGCGGTTCCAGGATTAAGGGGTAAAATGCCGCGAAAACAGTTCGAGGGCGAAAAGCCGCAGCGAGCGAGCTATAACGATTTTGACTCCCGGATACTTGTTGCGCAGGCGAGCTGAAACTTAGCGTCTTTAAGCTATATTGACTACAACTACGCCATATAGCGTGCCCTCGAAAAAGCATCGCCCAGCCAGGATACATTTTTGCAACAGAATAGATGATCGGTTATCTTCCCAATAAAAATTTTGTCTACATTTATATAAAATTAATTTCTGTTATTCATTGTAATTTTCCTCCGTTACTGAATATCTCCTCTGAATGTATAATATCTTATTCATTTATTTAACATAAAACAAAAAATACAATCGTAAATATAATTATTATCGTAAAAAAACAAAAAATTACAATGTCATAAATATGACGTTTTTAATTATAATTTATGCTAATTTCAAATAATAGGTACGCGAATAATGATTGTTGAGGAGATGGTGGCCGAGTTTTTAAAAAATTCTCCTTTTTGTAATAATCAACTCACATTTCAAGCGAGATTATGATCACCAGCGAATATACGCCCACGTGTCTAAAAATAACACGGCATGAACGAATTATACAATGCTAGTTATTGCGAGGAATGAAACGAGATATATGTGACAATGCCGGATCTATTAATATTGAAATAGAAATATATGTTATCAGGATAGGAAAATTAGAGCGATGTAAATCATGAGATTATGTCAATTATTTTACATACGTAGACGAAGGTTATATTTTTTTTTTCATTGCGTCGCGAATTATTTTAGAAAACAATGTCATATCTATCGTATAATAATCGATTCAATATTAATTTATGACAACAATTCGTTACATGAAATTAATATGGAATTTGCATTCAGAATTATTATATAATAAAGTGAGCTAACATAATACAGATTAAATAATATAGAATATAACTATAATATGCACCGCTTATGCAATTGTAAAATATAATAATTTTATTTCTAAATTTTCTTTCTAAATTGTTTTTGTTATAAAAAAATATTATATATTTCGAGAATCTCTAACAACTTTTGAAAGTTAAACAGTTTTCACACACACAAGTAATTTTTCTATAATTATCATTTCTTCCTCTTTTGGTACGATTAATAGAATGCGATAAAATATATATCTAGTTATTAATGTTGTATGGCACAAACATAATTCATATAAATTGATAATATGCAAAATATGTAGTCATTGATATGATTTATGATATTAGTTTATCTAGTGGAAAGCTATTAATTTCTCCATCCAGTTAAGCTAAATAATTTTAGTCCATTATCGCGGGAGAAAAGGGCATCGCGCAATGTCGATCGCGTGAGTAATTATGATCGGGCGGCAAATGAATCAGAAAAGTTTCTCGCATCGACAATTTCTCTCACGAGGCTCACATCGAAATACGAATCTCTCTCGTAAAATACGGCTTTATGCTTTGCACCTGACGCCATTATAACGGGACAATGTATGTATGTCGTGTCAACAATGGGTGTCAACGCCGTAGTGACGCACATTGTACCATCCTGGAGAGGGGGGAAGCCTCCTCGAAATATATATAGTTCGATGGATCGGATCGAAGTTATATAGATCGCCGATGATCGAATTAAACGTGGGCGGCGGTCAATGACGAATTAATCATTTAGTTACTGTGATTCCTTTTTTTATCGATAATTCTGTTATGAGGGTTTAATACTGTAAATATAACTGCAGTAAAACAATGAGAACAATTAACGTTCTATTATCACACGAATTATGTAATATTTAAGAGAGAACTATCATTATGTGTCTGTGTAAAAAATACAAAGTTTTTAAATTCTGCATTCTGTTAAAAATGACGTTGGTCAAATATATATTTTGTGTGTCCATTATTCGCTGTTTCAAATTTTATTATGAGCGCTTTTCAGATAAAAGCCTGCAATATATTTTAATATCTAATATATCTAATATATCTTAATGAAAATTAATATCTAATCTAAAAATAGAAAAATAGAAAATTAATATCTAATTAATATCTAATCTATCTAATATATCTTAATGTAAAATTTTAATAAAATTAATTATTCAATTAGTCTATTTTAAGATGGAATATCTAATTAATCTGATTAGGAAGAGGATCTATTCAAGATCTTCGATCTTCAATAATTGTATTGTAGGTAAAAGACATAGACGTTTATTTTGAGAAAATTGTAATAGTTAGACGCATCAAAATGTAAAATCTCGGGATAAGTTATAAATTGTGAACGATATTGATCGTGGCATATAAGCGGAAATTTTATTTTTCATAAAATATTCTTTGAAAGGAAAAATACGAAGCATTTTTATACGAGCATCCTTTGATATTAATTAAAAGACATTATAATATGTTAAAATATTAAGAATAACATCTCTTATCTTGTTATTTAATTAAAATATAAATTTCCGAAGTTTTAAAATTGTCGGAGTCATGATTTATTATTGGAATATTCTAATATATATAGCGTCAATAATAAATTCCTAAAAAGAAAATTTTCTAAATTTTAATTTTAATTTTTAAAAATAATAAATCAATTGAAAAATGTTTCTAGCGCATTTCTGACAGCAATTCGTGGAAATCAAAAGCTGGCCAATTTTTTTCACAGCATACAAACGCGGATTAAAACTGTTTGTTGCCTCGTGATTGGTCGATTCAATCTCGTATTCGTCTCATCACATGTTGTATTCTAGTAGATATCAAGAGCTTTAGAGAGATTCTCTTGCGCGCGTGCTCGAGAATCATATACATATATGTTGAAGACGTGATATATCTAAATATTGAGTGTTTCAACTAAAAAGTACATTCTTATATTAAAATAATATCTTACATTAATATAAAATTAATGTCACACATAAAACACATTATTATTTACGTATTTAACTTTCGTAAAAATAT